AGATCGTTTCTAATTACGGAGAGGTACATATAAAAAATATGGTCGTCGGGATATCCCACCGATAACTAATTTTCAAACTTTCAAAGAGGACTGAAGTGTTGATTAAATTGTAGATACTTATCTAAAATCGAATGATGTTTTCAATGAAAACCTGGAAAGAGCACGAAGGTCAGCAAAGACATAAATTCTGCTTTAATAATTATCCAGTAACCGTTTTTCTTCAACCTTTTCTTACGAAAACAGCTTTAGGATCTATGTAATAATACCCTGAAGGTACGAGTACCTGATACATGTAGAAGCGATAACTTTCGCTGATGTTTGTAAAAATAAAACGAAATCGTTCATTCGAGCATGTTATTGTTCGATAATGTGGTGTTCCATTATTTAAAAATAATGTAAGGTTATTTTTGCATTCATATCGCAGGGGGTTACAAAGCAAAACGCTTAGATAAAGCAAGCAAGACTTTAAGATACTATATGTTCATACTGCGTGTATCGAAAAAAATATTAATGTTAATCTGGAGGTAGCCGTGGTTTACTAGATTTTTTTTACAAATTCATTGCAAATAGCTACTAATTTGAAAATATTTATCAATTTAGGAATTTTAAGTTTTGGATATAATGCATACTCAAAGAATATTAATTTATACACTAGAAAACGTTAACGTTTTGTAACAAAGTCTCAATACTATAGGCCACGCAGAAAGTCTTGCGAAAAAATTTTTTTGAGTCACTGACCAATTATATATTATTATTTTATTATATTTAATTTAAGCATAAATGTGGTAAAGATTACTGTTTAAATGTGTTACCACGAAAGCAAGTTAAATCGTAAACACTTGACGTGTTTCTTACAGTTTTTACTAGCCAAAACAGTTTCAAAAGCATTTATTTTTTTATCTTCGATTATACTCTGAAAACCAATTGATATTCGTTCGTCAAATTCACATGCGGGTACATGTCTTCCTCTTGTTCTATACTATACTCTACACAAGTTTTTCGATAAATTTTATTCTCCCACTTTTAAAATTTACGACATCTTTTGTGAGTTACTTTATAAAATTTAGTTATCCCACAGACACCGTTATACAGAGAAATTTGTGTGAAACTTAAAATTTACTGCCTGGAAACAAGGTGCTAAAAAGTCACAGCTTAAAACAAAAGCGGGTGTCGCTCAGCGAAATATTTTTTGAAACTTTGATAATTATGAAAACATTGTACCTTTAAGCACCCTGTAACATTAATTCTCTATACATACTTTTTTTAAATAAGGAAGTTGTTTATGTTCCTTATTTAACATACATTTATTTCAAAGCAATTTACTTGTCTATTACCACACAAAATATTATCCAGCTTGTGTAATGAATTGAACGAAAAAGATGAAAACTTATGACTGGCAACCTCCGGTAAAAGGAATAAGGGTGACAAACGAGTCCACAGTCCACCTGATGGTAAGTAGTGGCCCATAGACGTCTATATTTATGCTCGATTAAGAATAAAAATGAAGATGCCCTGTCACCCCTATTAGCTGGCTTCTACTCGTTTTTATGGAGTGATGAGTCCGTCGTGCTGCTCCGGTGCTTCTGGACCAACTTCAAATGTCACATTTTATTTTTATTAGCGAGTGGTATTAGTCAAGTATGTGCATATGTTTCTACGTCGTTCCCTATCTAGAGTGAATTGTCCTACACTTTGTTTACCGGTATGAGACTGCGTCTCGAAAAACTTTCTTTCCCATCAGTTACCGGAACTGTAAAAAAATTCGCATTAGGTTGAAGTTTCCGCTAACTTTTCGCGTGAACTTACTGAATGAATCAAATGATGGATACGCGAATGAGATGAGCAGCACTTTAGACTTTGCATAACGAATGGAAAATTATTTTTCGTTTTAATGCAAATATGGAATAATAATAATATCTAAAATTTAAAACTTACAGTCTGTTGTTTTAGATTCCTTTAACCATCGCTGGATTATTAATTTATAATTTATAATATTTTTAAATGCTAGGCATGGGTATCTTTTCACTTTAAACGTAGTTGACGCACAGTTATTTCGCTACGCTGCTTCAATTTGCGTATTAGCAAACCACAAGTCCTGAAAATATTTTATATAGTTATATAGAGTTCCCTCACGACGCTTAATATTTTTTGCCAAAATACTCTTGCAATGACATTTTCGTAAAGTATCAACATATTACAAATTAAGTTTCGGGGTTCCATGCATTCACACAATAGCAAACATAGAATGGAGATAGTAAACACTCCATTGCTGAAAATACACGTACACTGCTTTTAGTCACGTTTGAAATGCAATACTCCGTACAATGTAACTGAAACACGGCTGTAACGAATTAACCACACTTAGCTAACGAATTTGCGATTACAGAACAATAAGTGAATTATATTTTCATGTAGTGGCGCGGCGTTAGAGTATTTGTTACGTCATGATATCATCATGTGGGCTGAACCTTTGCAGACGCATAGTTTCTCTGTCGCTCCGCATTCAAAAAATCGTTTGAATGGGCTAAAGCGCTCCGATTTTCGTGCAACAAGTGTTATTTGGTTCAGTTTCGTGCTATATTATCAGTGAGTGCATTGGTTTTAGTGAATAGTTCAGTGATTTTGTGGAAAACCTGGAAATCTTATTTTTGCCTACGCCGTGATTTTTAGATCGACAACTCAATTTTTTATTTTTGCATTGCATTACTATTTATTGGTCCTACATTTTAGCATATCTCTCGGATTTTTATGACAATTATTTTTAAAGTTATTAAAGAAAAACTGAAAAACCACGATGTCGTGAAAATTTGAACCAAAATCGTGCGGCTGTTTTTGAAAGTTGGTTTCATTGCGCCACTTTTAATCTAGCATTCCAAAGCTTGTTGCGTTAAAATCGGAGTACAATTCAAGGAGTTATTAACCGAAGTGTCAATTTCTTAAATTTCTTCTAAATCTAAATATATCATCATCATTATCATTACAGCCCTTCACAAGTCCACTGCTGAACGTAGGCCTCCCCCAAGGAATGCCACAAAGCACGGTCCTGAGCCACCTGCATCCATCGACTTCCTGCACATCTTACCAGGTCGTCACTCCATCTACTGGGGGGTCGCCCTACACTACACCTATCGGTACGAGGCTGCCACTCGAGAACCTTTCTTCCCCATCGTTATCGGTTCTTCGAGCTATATGGCCGGCCCATTGCCACTTCGCTTACTAATCCGTTGGGCTATGTCGTATGTTACGTATGTTTATATTATGATATATATCGAATATATATATATATAATCAACAAAAACTTAGAATTTACTATTTCATAATTACCATAAAATTGATATTTTCGTGAAAATACTCTTCCACGTGCCACCTCTTCCAGATCATTGGGGGTGAAGTTCTCCATACCATATTCAGAGAGCAGATTGTGTATAAATTTGTCATTTTCAGATTAAAATATCTTGATTAGTTCGGAATTAAAACGTGTTTCAGTATTTTTTCAGGATTTATCTTTACTGAAAAATTTTTCATTATTTGTTAGACTTTCTTTGCTAGCTCTTGTCATCACCTTTCTAGAGAGCCCAAATTCGACCTATTTAAGTAGCCCCTTTGCTGAGAAATAAACTTTTAGCCTTTTTTCGCCATTTTGGCAGCCATTTTCAAATTTCTTAAAGTGCCGTATCTTCTCAACAGGTTATCATAAAAAGTTGCGATTTTCTTCATACACACAACGGTACCTTTATAAATCTTCGGGAGTTTACTGCTGACATTTCGAATTTGGTACATGTCCGGGCGCGAAATCAGATAAATCACTGTAAAACGAACCGAATAAGCACAATCTCGACTATCCTCGGATTTATGGGTCCAAAGTTATTCTAAAATTAGTTTAGAGCGGCCATCTTAGTCCACCATCTTGAACAAATTTGAAGGGCTGTAACTCCGCAACGGAAGGTCTAATTGGAACGCGGTTTTTACTACAGATGTCAACACATTGAGCTCTATAAGATAAGCAGAGCCAAAAAAGAATTCACTCTACCCTCAAAAAACTTCTATATTGAGTTGTAGTGATTTAAGTAGCTTCTGCTTCGACTATCATAGGGCAACAATTTCGGACAAATCTGGGAAATCAGGATCAAGCTGCTCAGAAAGACAAACACTAAATAAGAAAAAATCTAATACTGGGTCACAAACGACTGCAAAAGTACTTACTAAAACCCAACATAGTCCAAAGACAAAATTGGTCGAGTCGACAGATAGCTATGTGCCTAAAGTTGACGTCCACGATGTAACCGCTGGCTCAGAATCAGAACAATTTCATAACGTTCATTACTGGTACTGAAACAAAGCCTTCATCTACGCTTGAAACAGAAGGGAGATGCAAGCTATCCTCTACCCCAGAAGCAGCCATATCATCGCCTTACTTTGAGGAAGCTGTAAAGTCTTCTCCTCTTCCGACCAGATCGGGTTCAAGTTTACTACGTATTAAAACCCAGATCCGACAGGCTAAAGGAGTTGAAGCAGGAGAAACCTTGAGAATAACGTCTGAGGTGGAGGACCAAATTGATACCGATAACGACAGTGGGGACACAAACACTTCCCGTGAAAACTCTACTCGCTCTATAAGTGGCAGTCGGATGTTGCTTAACGGACTGCCAAGACATGTGAATGAGATACGAATGGGAAAAGCCTGGTAATCTCAAAAGAGAAATACGGAAAAGTGTAATATCTGGCCTATACACTTTGTACGATGGTTTTAAAGCTCTCGGACTCCAGAATGCTTCACATTCTCGAAGCCAAGAAACAAAAACTAAATGTCTCAAAAGAATCCGAGCGTTTAACTCAAAGACACGCACGGTTTATGCACAAACGCTAGGACAATACGCTCTTTTAAAGGAATTTATGGACAAACTGAAAAGGTAAACTGAGTCCATGAGAATGACCAAGTCATAGACTTATGCACAACAATCACTGAAACTAAGCATGAGGTGACTACAGTCAGACACGAAATGTCATCAACTAGTTGCATATCTAATCAAATAAAGACATTACAAGAAGAACTAAGACTTCTTCGCAAGGAAGCGGAATCTCGAAGGCACACAATCACAAAAGAACTGGCAAGCACATCTCTTACTGCTGAGCTGCAGGAGATACACAGAGCAATATATAATATCAAGTCCTTAAAATGGGGGACATCATTTCCAGAGTTTCCGATAGTTTCCACTGAACTAGAGAAAAGTCAGAAAGAGTAGGTTCAGGGGATTTCTCAGGAATTGCGACAAGAATTTCATTAATTAAAAACGCAGTTCCAAGAGGACATCACCAACCTGCGCAGTGAAATCTCCCAAATTTCTCAGGAAATAGCAAAACTCAGGAAGTGCCCTGCTGATTCTTTGATCACGTCAGTACAAGCCAGCGTTGAAGAACTGAGACGGGAAACTAAAGAATTACAGGACACTACGGTGGGATCTGCTGCACCTATCAGAATGGCTATAGAAGGACTTCGAAAAGAGGTCAGATATCAATCAATAATAAACAGTGCAAACAGAAGATAAGGATCACGATAATTCTCTACAAGGACAGCGCAAACCCGAGAAAGCTTTCACATCAAAGCAGACAGTTGTAAAGCCTTGTTTACCACCTAAATCATACTCAGAAGTTGTTGCTAAGCCCAACTTCTCCATAATGGTAGAATCTCTCTGATCCCCGAAACACCAGTGACGATATTATCAAAGAGGTAAAGAATGATATAAATATTATCGACTTGGGTATAGGAATAAGCAATATAAAAAAACCAGAAATCAGAAGGTGCTCATAAGCTGCGAGACCGAAGTAGATAGAAAAATTCTTCATGATAAACTCAAAAGTACCTCAAGTAAACTGACCGTGCAGAAACTTCCCACCAAAAAACCCTTCTCAAATTAATTGGCGTCGCCATGGACCTAAATAATAAGAAAATCGAAGAAGCGGTATTGAAACAAAATGGTTCACTGCTAAAAGAAATAACAACCTCACAAATACACATAAAAGTCGTGATAAGGGTCAAAGGTCGTACCAACACATTAAACAACGTAATTGTGGAAGTAAGCCCACAAGTCTGGTCAAAACTTAAAGATCAGAGAATAAGGCTTGGCTTCAAGATCATTCCAGCAGTGGACCAATCGCCCTTAATTCAGTGCTACCGCTACCTAGGATTCTCACATCGAGCTAGTGACTGTAAGGCGGATACAGCAATTTGTGCCTACTGCGACGAGTCACACGATACATGAGAGTGTTGCAATAAAAACGATGCTCCAAAATGCACAAATTGTATCAATAAGAAAGCAAATGATTGTGCATGTACTCATCCAGCCATCATATAACTCTGAATGCCGTGAATGGCAGCGGTGGGACAGAATTGAAAGATCTTTAATATTCTATTGCTAAGAACAACAGAGAACAGACAAAAGACAGCAGTCCAGAGAGAACCAAAATTGCTCAAATAAACCTCGATAGGGGACAAGCTGCACTACAAGAAAGTATACAAGCTGCTGTGCAGCAAGGTTTCTCAATTTTAATGGTCCAAGAGCCATATGCTGGAGCTAAGGCTCATGTAACTTGTAAGCATAGAGTTATACAAAAAGACACTGGTAACAGAGAAGAACCAGTCAAATCGGCTGTCATTGTTGTTAATCAGAGCATACAGTATTGTGTCAACCAAAATATGATAACAGAGAATTTAGAGTGCCAATATTGAAGAAGATCTCCGAAAAATTACAAGATTCATAGAAAGTCTCGACACCGAGCACGTTATTCTTGGAGGGGATTTTAATGCCAAAAGTCCCTGGTGGGGGTGCAATGTGGAGGATAAGCGGGGAGCAGTTATAGCTGAGACCTTAGCACAACTATACCTACAAATATTAAATGAAGGACAATCACCAACTTTTCATGTATGGAGAAGGGCTTGAGAATACTCCAGCATCATTGATGTTACCACATGCACGCCAGCTCTACTGCATAAAATAACCAACTGGAAAGTGAACCATAACTTAGTTACAATCTCAGATCACCGTGCCATCGCTTTCGAGATAAATATCAAAATGCAAATATAATGACACATCAAAGGATCTCAACGCGTATTTATAACACGAGCAAGTCAGACTGGGAAACTTTCCCAATAAGACTGAGAGGAGAACTAAACAATTATAAGATCACACATGACTTCATCGACTCCATAAGTACCCCAAAATTATTAGAACAGTGCATTTTTTTTTTTTTTTTTTGTAAAAAAACCAACCGAAAACCCCCAAATCAACACATATACCACATGTATTCATAAATCTTATGAAGACACTTTACCCTTATTAACGAGGAAAATACCAAAAAAGACGCAATGGTGAAATAAGGAACTACAGGAGAAAAATAGGAGGTAATAAAGAAAAGGAGAAAAACAAAATATGCTAACGAAAGACGGAAACTGTATGTAATTGAAGACTACATACAAGCTAAAACCGATTATAAACCTCATGATATCGGTATATCGAAGTGCTTAAGTGTTTGTACAGTAGGGCTACGATGGCTATCCGAGTAGAGAACCAGAGTTCAAAACTTATCCCACTGTAGAGAGGTGTAAGACAGGGTGATGTTATATCCCCGAAACTCTTCACTGCTGCGTTGGAAGACGTTTTCAAGCTACTGGACTGGAAAGGATACGGTATTAACATCAATGGCGAGTACATCACTCACCTTCGATTTTCCGACGATATTGTCCTTATAGCAGAATCGCTGGAGGACCTTAGCACTATGCGCAATGACCTTAATGGTGTCTCCCAACGGATAGGTCTTAAGATGAACATGAACAAAACAATGATCATGTTTAATGTCCATGTCACACCTATGCTGATAGTTGTTGGGAGCACTATGCTCGAAGTTGTTGACTAGTACGTTTACCTGGGATAAATAGTCCGACTAGGTAAGTCCAACTTCGATCGAGAGGTCAATCGACGGATTCAACTAGGCTAGGCATCGTTTGGGAAATTACGACACATCTTCTCGTCAGGTATACCTCAATCTCTGAAAACGAAAGTGTCCAAAATAACCAGTGCGTGTTGCCAGTGATGACTTACGGATCTGAGACGTGATCCTTCAATGCTGGCCGTATGAGGACGCTCAAGGTCGCTCAGCGAGCTATGGAGAGGGCTATGCTCGGAATTTCTCTGCGTGATAGACTCAGAAATCAGGATATCCGCAGTAAAACCAGAGTGACTGCCATAGCCCAACGGATTAGTAAGCTGAAGTGGCAATGGGCCGGTCATATAGCTCGAAGAACCGATAACCGATGGGGAAGAAAGGTTCTCGAGTGACAACCTCGTACCGGTAGGCGTAGTGTAGGGCGACCCCCCACTAGATGGAGTGACAACCTGGTAAGACATGCAGGAAGTCGATGTATGCAGGTGGCTCAGGACCGTGCTTTGTGGCATTACTTGGGGGAGACCTATGTTCAGCAGTGGACTTGTGTAGGGCTGTAATGATGATGATGATGAATGATGGAAGCAATGACCTCGAGCTGGAAACAGTTCTGCTCCAGACAAGACAAGGAAAATATGTGGCAGAGCATATACAGGATAATTCGTAATAATTCAGCGGCAAAGAATGCCACGTTACTAAAATCATCTACGGGAAATAACACCTTATCCACAGAGCTATCTGCCAAGCCTTTGGCAGACACCTTCTATCCAATAGATGACAACTTCACTGATGATAGAGACCACATAAAAATAAGGGAAAATGCATTAAGCATCAGATAAGACCTTAACATAAATACAGTATATACTAACACTATACCATATACCGCCACTGAAGTCTAAACTGTTTTCAAGGATATGAACCCCAAAAATTACCGAGAGGAGATGCACTGACTGTTGATATTTGCCTTAAATCCTACTTAGCTGAACCAGGAATTCTCTTTAAAATATTTAATAATTTAAAGAGAATTCCTTTTAAGTGTCTATCTTTAGGATATTTTCCACAGATATGGAAAAACGCAATCATTCGCCTTATTCCGAAACCAAATAAGGATGATTATACTCTCGCAAAAGCATACCGTCCAATAAGCCTTTTACCTTTATTGGGGAAGGTACTGGAAAAGCTATTTGTTACCAGACTCACATGGAAGCTTGGCCACGATAATAAATTAAGCGGTTGGCAATATGGTTTCGTCCCATAGAGGGGTACAGTAGTTATATGACCGCCTGGTGGCAGTAAAGGACTGTGTAAGAAACAAAGAAATAGCAGTTATTGTTTCGTTAGACATTGAAGGGGCTAATGAAAATGCGTTGTGGCCAGCCGTGATCACAGAACTACAAAAGAAGGACGCTTATCCAGCGATTTTAAGGTTAATCACGAGTTATCTCTCAGAAAGGTCCATAACATTTAGATATGCCAACACAGAAGTCAGCAAAAATACAAGTTAAGGCTGCATACAGGGCTCTATCTGTGGACCCCTAATGTGGAATGTTCTACTAGATTCCTTGCTCCAGGAAACAGAAAAATAGAACGTGCATGTGCAAACGTATGCTGATGACATCATAGTAAAGTTAACTTGCCTCTAGAACATATGTCAAACTGGGGAAAATCAAGATTGATGAATTTTGCTGCACACAAAACCTAAGCCATCCTTATCACTAAAAAGACTAAGTATGATATACCAAATCTAAAACTAAATACTCGTAACTCCAAAGTAACATTTACTGAATACTTAAAAATTCTTAGACTAATTGTAGATAAGAGACTGACTTCATCAAACATGTAAATGCTACCACCAAAAGAGCAATAGCATTATATAAAAAAGTTTCCAGAACAGCGAGAGCTCAATAGGGATTAAACTCAGAAATTTTGAGAACAATTTACCTCGCTATCGTAGAGCCTACAATGCTATATGCAGCCGCATCCTGGGGTAAAGAGGCAAATATAGTACAAATACGCAAAAAAAAACTTGACAGAATAGTTAGAATGTTCAGCGTTATTATTTGTAAAGCACACCGTACATCCTCATTGATTTCAGATAAGGTGATTTTTATTTTTACGCAAGTCTTATCCGACACTATTCCGATGATATCCCGGACGTCAGTCTAAGCGAGATTAGAATGGCTCTCCAGCACCTTAAAAACGGCAGGGCCCCAGGCGAGGATGGAATTACAGCGGAGCTTCTGAAAGCGGGTGGAACACCGGTACTTGAAGTCCTTCAGAAGCTCTTCAATTCCGTCCTCCATGG